TTCAAAAATGAAGATGCTAGAGCCAGAAGAGAATCAAGTGACTTGTGGCTAAGTGCCATGAAAGTTTTTCTCTTATCTTCCGGATATCCTGAAGAATTTGAGAAGCTGCTTTTTAAGGAAGAGGACGATTATAACAGAGAGCTAAGCCTTGCTTTGTCAAAGGCAAAAAACGCCCCCAAAAGTAAAAGCCAAGGAGGAAAGATCAAAGGAATAGATGGCAGGCATGGTATGTTGCAACCTGACAAAAAAACTGAAAATGCAGGAAGAACACACTTGTGCTTCATTCGACTCCTTCAAAGTTCATTTGAACAATTCTATGTTTATAAGAACCCTGAAAGCTGTAAAAGGCTGTTTTTCCGATTTATGAACGTCCTGGTCAAGAAATGCACAAGGTACCTGATTCCAAGCATAGGAAATACTGTAATGTTGTTGGAATTCCAGTATATTATCTGTTGTGCTGTGCTGATGCGACTCAACAAGAATGTGACTCTGTGCCTTCCCAAGAGTTACATTGCTCTCGTTCATTATTGGGATTTTTTGTTCAGAAACAAGGGCCGTAGCAAAGAATTCACAGAGACGTTTTCCATTATACAAGAGTATAGACCAAAAGACGTACTTGTAGCTGAACAGAATTTCAGATTTCATCTCTGTTACCTGGCAAAAATTTTGTGTGGAGTTCATGAGAATTTCAGCGTCCTTCTGGATGCTTTTGAGGATCCCGATTGTGTAACTTCAGGAGAGGCTGAGCGAACTGTAGTGCTGAGCTTAGTGATGATACTGAATGCTGATCAGGTGCAGAATTCTACGTGTAAATATCTGCTAAGCCAACTCTTTCCTGAAATAAAGGCGATGCTGAAATCAATGAGAAAAGACTCTCCCTCAAAAGTGCCTGTAAGATTACTGAAGGTTGTGGAACAAGTGGCTGATGCTTCAAGTGTAAGAGAAGTCGCTGCAAGCTTGCAAGAGCTTCTGATAGAGCGAGATGAGGAGTACTTATTTGACTGCCGATGGAGGTGGGACTGTGTGTACACTCAGGGCTATGCACCCATCCGGGGTATCCTGTATGAAAACGTAAATTTTGACAGGTTTATAACCTCTTTGGATAAAACAGAATATGCTGATGAGATAGAGAAGGAACTCGAAAGCGATCAGTGCTTAGAGGACCAGAAGGATCCCCTGGAAGTGATTGCATTCAACAAGCAACAGAAGCAAGAGCAGAAAGCATCTGCTCTACGCCAGCTGTATCGCGTCTTCCATTTTGGTTTTGTGTGCATGAGGTGGAAAAGGAAGGCCTGCTGCAAAGCAGAGCCTGTAGCAGTGAAAGGAGAGGAATTTTTATCAGATATCTTCAAAAAAGCAGATATTGACCAAACCCAGTGTGACCTCTGTGGAGTCAGATTTATCCAGAGCTCTGAGAACTATTTCGGCCAGGCTGAAAGCGTGGAGGCAGACACTGCCGAAGCTGTGACACCGACAGAAGAAAAGATGCAGGTGGAAGGAAATGCAATGATTGCAGCCAACGAGGCCTATATTGAGCACAGAAACACAGATGAACACAGAAATAATAATGCTGCCTACAAAAACTATGCTGACTTTTTCAGAAGAAAGATAGATCCGAAAATACGTGACGGACTGGATGTAGTGGAGGCCATTACAGAAAAGACTTACACTCAAGACCATTTAGCCTATAAAGAAGGTTCCAACTTACGCCAGAGAAAAATCAAAGAGAATATTAAGAAGATTTCAGGTGCAGTAGAGGAAATCTATGAGAGAAAAGCCTGGGCTGAAGGTGAGGCTTTTCATTTTTCTTTTAAACAATGAAATATGTCACTTGTGGCCAAACTTCTAGACGTGACAAAGCTCCATTCACAAATCTTAATGTGGTCAAAAGAAATAAAAAACCACTACATGTTTCAGTACAGAGATCAGTAAGTTCTGGTACTTAGGAGATACATACTTTGATATAGGATTTCTTTCTCATTGCTTAAATCATCATTCTGTGATGACTTTTGCAAGCAAAATTGAATCACCAAGGGGGTAGCCTAGAAGCAAAATTGTTTGGGGTACTTGCTCTGCAAAAGTGACATCTTACATCAAAATATTGTTACTGGCTTTAGCGTAGAAATCCAGCAACCCTGTCAAGTTGTCACTGTGATGGCTGGCAGTAATGAAAAACTGTAGTGTTCTATGTGTTCCTCAGCTCTTACCAGCACAATACGTTAATCTGTAACTAAATGTTAGGTTGTGGTCTTCACTTTACTGTAAAAGCTTTATCTTCACTCCTAACTGAAACCTTTTCAATAAGGATAAAATGTGCAAATTTTGCTCGTTAGTTAGGTTTCTGCTCAGTGAACCATGACAGTTGTCCTTGTTGCTTGACACGTAGAATTTCAGAGGGATAATGAAAGCCCGAAATTTTCATTCTCCAAAAATAGATAAACCAGAATACGTCCAAGAGTTTCAGGTACACCTTGAAAGGGCCGCACAAGGATGGAGAGGTGATCTTCTGCTCTCTGTGTTAGCAGTGTTAGTTGGCTTGGAGAGTAATACATACAGCCTTTTCATCCCCAGTAGTGACTTTGGTCTGTACATGAAATCACTGGTGATGAAGACTTCTTGCTTTGCATCACTATTGTACACACGTTTGTGTCAGCATGCTTGGCTTTTAGCTCCTGTCTGTCACTCAGAACACTCAGGTGTTCTTACAGAATGCTAATTGTGCTCCATTCCAGCTGAAGAAATAATAACTGAACATGCCAACAAATTGTTTGCTGTCACTGATGAGGCTTGTAAGTGGCTGAAGAAAATGGATTTACAGAGAATAAAGGAAGAAGGTATGTTTTGAAATTACACAGATTTCTGGGCCCTCTAGTGGTCTCTGTTTGGTAATGGTCTCTTAGCTTTAGTTGCTTCACTCCCCTGGTCAGCAGTGCTGTGGATATTCACACAGCAACACAGAACATTAGGCAATGATAAACAGGCACTTGCACAGGGGGTTAGGGAAAGTGTGAGGTATTTGGTCTTCAGCTGGCTGCAGGGCGACTCAGATTGAGCAGGGCCCCACTGCTGGCACTCAGTTTGTCCCAGCCTGCATGGAGCATGTGTGTGTGAGTGTGTGTGTGTGTGCATACAGCTGTGTGTGTACCTATGGCTCAGGGGCAGTCCTAGGACAGAAACCCGAGCGAGGGGACAGAAGAGCAGCTGTCTTCGTTTTCACTTATTACACCTGCTTTTAACTGTGCTTTGCTTTTACTGGCAGTTAAGTGGTCCCCGAGTACTTGAAAACCAGTGTCCTAATAAAACTGATCTTCAGCTTGGTTCTAAGACCTCTGTGAAGTAAAAATATATGCAGTTAGATTTCTTTTGGTTTTGGTCATTTTACTTTGTATTAGATCAAAAGTAATATGCTTGGATGCTATCAATTGCATTAGAGACTTTTAGGCAAGTTTAAGACTTCATTGTGCCTACCCATATGTTTAAGGATAAGCACATATTCTAGTGGTAGAATTGCAAGAACTGTATAAAAAAGCAGAAATAAAGTGCTTACAAGTTGCACGGTATGTAAAGTACCAAAGTGACTCTATTTTAGAGAATTTTATTGTGATAAAGCTTTGTGTTACAATTTTCTATTCCAATAATGACAGAATGATAAGACTGCATGAGAATGCTCTCACGGTCTTACAAGCAACATTATACCCTGTCACTCCCTCTTTAGAAGTCAGTAAGCAAATGTATTTACTGCTGAAACTGAACCTTGAGAGGGGAAAGACACTCTTCTTAAAAAAGCCAAAAGCTATAGCATCAAAACAGATGTTGAGTGTAAAAATAACAACTAGAGCAGCAAGGCTTTGTCATGTAAAACACAGCACTTAAACATGACAGTATGTGTATGAAGATATTTTGCTGATATAAAATCCTAGTGGTAGATCTTGTCATACTATTAAGAGAGAAAAGATGTCATGTCTTTCCAATTTCTTGTTGTTTTCTCTTTAAATACAGACTTTGTGCATGATAGAGACTTGGAAAATGAAGTAGAAGATGAAAGCATGGCTTTTGAAGAACTTGCTTATAAAAAACCATCAAGAAAAAAAGGAAGATGTGGGAAATGGTGATCAGAAAAAATATGCAGCTGCTATTCTGTCCTCTGGTAATCTAATGTTAGAATAAAATATTAGGCTTATTAAAAAGAAGAATAGAGTGTTGGGGTCGGGAATTGTAAGAATGTGAAGAAAAAAGCAACTTGTTCAGTTGTTAACACTTCTGTCAGAGTAATGATTTGTGCTGATGATGTAGCTGATAAAACCTATGAGAGGACAGATTTCCTTTCACATCTACATTGCCTCTTGAAAGTAACCAAAAGCCAAAGAAACCAGCAAGTAGGAAGAAGCAGTCATGTTTTGGCCTTATCTCAGGGGTATTTTTCTACCAAGTCTTCATTTTTTTTTTCTTCTCTGTTAATTGACATAATCATTCTTCTGAGCTGGAACACTCAGAAAAAAAGACAGCTTCTCTGATTTTAAGAGGTTTTAATTTCTGTTTTTAGATTACCATTGTAAACTTACTGTCCCTTGAGTCTTGTGCTTGGAAGTGTTTAAGTCGCCAGGTGAGGTCCTTGGGGTACCTCTCTTCCATATTTTTATAGACAAGAATGATCATTCCTAAGCTTGTTCATGTTTGTTTTTTTTGACAGTGTACATACTTCTAATTAGATAAGCAAGGAAATCTTGAAGTTTCTCCTCTTTCATAAAGTTTTGATATAAACCGTTACCTGTACGTATTGAAATATAGATAATCTCTCTTTTAAAAGTATTACATGGTGTTTTATAAATTTCAATCAAAGAAAGCCTTTTGTAATGTTCAATAACATTTTATAAAATTTGTAAGATGGTTAAAACTGTGTGATTTTTGTCTTATTTTTGAATGCTTTGGGAAAGCCACAGCTGACTGACCAACCATGTGAGCAGGGCACAATTTGGGCCAGAGTATCAGTTCACGATGACACTATTTCACTTCTGGGACTTCAGCATCTCCAACGTGCTCTCATCTCCTCATTTTAGATGGATTTGTATGTTACACGTGCGTAATTACAGTGTTATTTAGTTGTTGAAATATTTTCTCTTGAAAAGTGAGCTGCTTGTATACTTAACAAATTGTTTTAATAATTCCCTTTTGCCGAAAGCTCAGGAGCTGGCTCTTATGCCTGATGTTTTCAAAGTGGGATAATTTCTATGGATCAAAATGAAGTGCTGCTGAAGAATGGAGCAGCGTGAGCAGCAGTGATGGTTTTCTATTGCACTGTAAGTGCTGTTGTGTGCCAGAAGACTCTTTACTAAGTGCTGCTTATTAAAGAAGCCTTGTTGCTTAAGTGTCTAGAAAGCGGTTTAAAAATACTCATGCATGAAATGTAGTGCTGGTCACTTGCACTGTAGAAATCAAGGATTAGGCAAGCTAGAGCATTCATGTAACATCATTGGCTTTATTTTCTAAACAGAATGCATTTTGCATTTGAAATTACTCTTAGAAATTTTGCTGATTAGTTTCTTGACCTGAGTGTTTACTCAAGTATTTACTCATTTGTGGCAGTAAATGTTACCTGCGCTTTCTAAGGTAATTACAGTTTAAAACTCCTCACTCTTCAGTTTAAAGATCCAGGGATCATATTTTTTCTTTCCCTTTACAGGAAAAGGGAAGCTTTAAAAGTATCACTGTAAAACACTAAGCAAAAAGAAAGCACAGAGAAGAAAGAACAGAAATTACATTGTGTTGATAGCTTCGTTTGGAGTGCATTTCTTTAGTGCAGGGACCCGAGATCCTTGGTCATTGGATTGCTGATAGCCAAAATTACAGGCAATTTAAATTTCAAACTCACAGTTTTAGAGACATATTAGACCAAGACGTGAGCAATATTCAAGCTGAAAAGGGAAATCTAGTTGGATTTCCTGTCTAGTGAGTGCTTACAATTTTTTTTCCTCCAGTGTCATTGCGCTTAAATAAACACAGACCTCTCTTTTCCACGTCAGTCTATTCAGATAATAATTATCTGTGTGTGTTAATCCTGTTTGAGTGTTTAATTAGCAAAAAGGGATACACCCTTGGTTTTTCACTTACTTAAAAATCCTTCTGGCCCCTGGTGGAAGCCACAGCATTCTAGACCAGCTAACAGCCCTGACTCTAAGAGGTTTAAGAGCTGTGACAGATGCCTTGGTACATGCAAGATGCATGTTGCACTGAAACCCTTGGAGTTGAGTAGTGGATGCAGGCTGTCAAGCTGATCCACCCACTTCTGCCTGTCTAAACCTTATTGAGCTGAAAAGAATTTAGAGAAGGCTTCAAAAGTACAGAAACCGATGGCTTGAAAATCTCTTTCCCTGGGGATACAAAAATGACATCAAAATGAAAAAGAAGGAACACCCACTTAAAATAGTTGGAAGGTAGCTTTGGGTCTAAAATTCCAAATTCCCCAAGAAGTAAAAGATCTCTTATTTATTTGAACCTCATATTAATGCTGGGGGATGTGTGGTTAGTGAGGGGCACTTTTCAACTTTTTCCTGTACACCTCTTAAAAGCATTGTTGTGTAAGTGTGCACATAATTGTATTTCAAAACACTCTTCTAGTAATCATCTGTTAGAAACTCCAACTCAGCAAGACATTCAAGCACTTGCTACGTTTTCAGTATTTGCTTTCATTCTCACAGGGAAACCTATTGCCTTTAAGCTCACAGAAAATGTAGGAGGAAGGAAATTGTCTTAGTGTAAATAAAATAAAAGGTTTTCCTGCCAGCAAACCCTATGAAGTTATTTGCTCCAAACCGATTGTGAATCCCCCTTCCTTCCAGGAATGGGGACAACAGACATTGCTGCCTGACTTCTGCCTTGCTTCTGGGAGCATTCAGTTTTTGTGGAAACCTTCACACCCACAATTACAAAAGCATCTGCAGGTCTTGCTGTGTGTTGGATTTATGGCAACTCTGTCACTCAGGCTTTCAGTTACCATGTAATGCAGAAATGTATTAGCAAAGCACAAGGCAACATACATACTCTTTGCTTCTTTATCTTGGTGTAGCTGATATGTCAGTTCTGTGTGTCTCACCTAACACCCATGAAGAAATGTATAGGTGTGTGGAAATGTACTTCTGCAAGAAGTTGTGAGACTACCAGGGGATCTAGCCCAGCCAGCATGGGTTTTAGTCCACTGACACTGCTTTTAGTCCACTCTCCAGAATGTATTGTGTATATTTAAATAATGTCAATTTTTCAGACATTCACAAATTACTTTTAATGCAGTTTTCTTTAAATCTTGTAATCTTGTAGTTAGAGCTTGCAATTCACTTTTGCAAAGGGATGAATTCAACTTCACTGAAGCTGTGTCATTCAAGTTCAGTGACTTGTGCCTCTCTGCAAGTTATTAATTGTAATATTTGGTTGTCCTGTGCTAGAAATGCATTATGAAATTGTGAGATTAAGGTTTTGTTTTGTTTTGCCTTCAAACTGGGATAGAATGTTTGAGTGGTTTAAAAGTTGGCAGTTTCCATAGGAATAGGTTAGAGCGAAACGTTTTAAGGAGATCTGCTACCAAGTAGTCAGTTTAAATAATGCTGAGCTCAGAGGTGCTCCAATATAATTAATGATATCACAGTCAAAGTCACTATCTATATAGTTTGGGGCACTTTGCATGCACTGTATTGCCTTTCTCTTGGGAAGTTTACATTTTTAGTAGTCTTAAACAGGGTCCCTAAAAAGAGAGGAGCCCTTGAACATAGAGTTGCCTAAAAGGACACTGAAGCAGAAGTGGATGAAGTCGCTTTTTCCCATTAAGAAGATGCAAGATGCAGAGAAAAAGGGCACTAAGAGGAGAGCTGCTGGCAATCTGAAATGGTGTGTGTCTGCAAGAGGCATGTAGAAAGGAAGATACTGAGTCAAGGTAGGTTTCAGATCCCCTCCCTGTCTTTGGAACTGAGAGTGGGGGAATCAGGGAGCCGGGGTGTCTGTAGTGCACAGCCTAGAGGCTTGCATTACTCTTTCCTTCAAAAGGACAGATCAAAGTTACTTATATTCATTTAGAGGCAGCCAAATGAGACTTAGAGGACAAAATGATGATGAGTACTTCTGTTTTCTGGGAAGTCAGGTTTTAAACTGGCCTCTGCCGGGAGGATGCTGAGCTACATGCTGATATGCCTTCAGCTATTGACGAAGATGAGTTAATGAGGGGTATTTTTGGCCGAAGGGAGAGTGAGGAGGGACTCATTTAGGAAAGGAGGATGTACACTCTAATTGCAGATGTCAGCACTAGTAGTCCTGAATTTAAAACAAACCAACAAACTGGGCCTTGAAAAGAGATCTTCAGCTCCTGTGTCAGTGGATCGTGTTTGTGAGGGTAAGGTTGAGCACCTGTTCTCTGATAAGAGACTGCAGAACTTTTTTGTTGTTGCCTCAGGTGGAGATACCAGCAGCCTAGAAGCCAGGCTCATCCTCTGCTAAGCCTGGATCCCCTGTTTCCTGGGAGAGCACTCTGATTCAGGGACTTGTCAATGGTGACCCCTTCCATGCGTTGTAGGGAGACCCTCATTCTACTGCTGCGCACACATTTCTGGGAATGCTTCACAGGGTGGAGGCAGAAGCTGAGAAGGAGCTGCCTGCCATATGGACCTGGCTGGACTTACAGGTAGGTAATTTGTTGAGCTACTCAGCCTTGTCATACTATGACATTTCTGCATGTTTAGGAAGAGAAGAACTGGGTCGTACCAATGGTGATGCAGCCCAGTGTCTTGGTTTTAGCGTTGGACGATGGCTGATTTTACCCATTTTCTTCAAAAGCTCTTTCCATTTCCTCACTCAATCTGCTCCTTGACAGGATCAACTATGATGTGACGTTACATTCAAGGCTAGGAACTCCTGCACTGGGTCCAGTAAATGTGGGTATTAATACTGCTTACACAACTCCATCAGTTCTTGGAACTGTGAAGTTTTAGGACAACTAATCCTTTGCAATCTTTTTTTTTTTCCTCCTTTAAAAGTGATGCAGTAGCTTATCAGTGCTGTTGTATTCATTTGAACCATGATTGCCAGACAGATAGAAAGCACTTAAATCTTTGAGCAAATCATGCAGAACTGTTTTCCACAGTTCATAGATATAATCATAGACAAGTTTCCTTACAGATGTATTTTACACTGTTACAAAGAACTCTTGGCTTGAGACCTGCATAGAGAGCAGAGGAATCAACCTGAAATGCATAAGGAAGTAATGAAAAAGCTATAAGCTTCCAGTTGCTCAGCTTGTCTTGGTAAATAAAGTGCCTGGGCAGCTCTCACAGCTTTTTGACCCCGTCACTTTGGATGTGTTTCTATTCAGTCCGATGCTGTTCAAATAAGATTAAACACCAGCTAATAGGAAGGACTTTCCCAATATGTTACATTCACAGTTTCTCACCACTCTATTTTGGCTAGAGGAGTCACTGATGCTTAAAGAATGAATAAACTTGTAGTACGATGAGCTGTACCTGTGAGCCAGGGTATTCATAGCTCTGCAGCAGTCTTGTTGCAGTGGGGGGGGGAAAGGCTTTGTTGTGTGGAGTAGTTTTGTGATGGCAATTCAAACTTGCTCTCTGTTTCACAGAGCTGTGAACAAGGGTGAAAGGAGAATACTGCCTCTTTCCACCCCTTGCTTTAAGGCTGTGAATCTTTCCTCTTCCCTTCACCTTGCTCATTTTGTGTTTTATCATTCATAAATTGTTCTCTCTGCCTATTTTTGCTGGGGCATCTTCTTGAATCTTTTGTGGCTTCTGAGTTGCCAAGATGTCAATGATGCTGAAACTTCAGTAAGTAGTGCTTTGGGCGATCCCCTTTGGCCTGGAGGAGCTGTGACTTGAGCAGTGGTAGGATTTGACTCAAGCTTGTCCAAAGCTGGGGTCACCAGTTGTCTGGTTATCATTCCCCAACTGGAAACCATTTCCTTCCAGGTGTAACAAGCTTTAAATAAGAGCTGTAATCATCTGGTAATACAGCCTGTGCCTTTAATTGGCATCAGTAATACATCTGCTTTCTTGGTTGAAGCCTTTTTATAGGAATTGCTAGAGCATAATATGAAGAAATTGTGTTCTTCGGAAGGAAAGGACACAATCTTTGTCTGACCAAATCTATGGATCTCTCATCTCCATATTCCTGCTAACAAAACTGGGATGAAATTCAGGAAAAAATGCCACTTCTTCTTGACATTTGTCTTCCAACAGTCCCCATTTTGTCCTCTGCTAAGGCTACTATAAAACGAAGAAGAAAAATATGGGATAAAATCTATCTAGGTTGCTAGAGCGTTATACATGCCGTAGAAGGATCGCTCATTTGGCCAATCACCCTCAAGAAAGTCCCAAATTGTACTTGTGCACTGCTTTCCTTCAAAGGAAGAGGAGACATTTCATTCCAGGAGGAGTACCTGGAATTAAAGAGGAGTACCAATTTGTCATGAGACTCGGGGCTGCACCTCGAAATTTGGAAATGGTGAGGTGTATGACTGAAAGGGACTGTTTGTGATGGGGGAAAGAGAAAGCAAAATAACCTTAATTGTCGGATATCCTCCGCTCCTTTCTGTTCCCAAGAGGTAGCGTGGAGATGATCAGCGGTGAACAGCATGTGGGATGTTAAAGCCACCTTTTAGTCAGCACCTAATAGAACATCTTTAGAAGTCTCTTCTTCCACTGGGTGTTAGCTAGGAAGCAATGTCATACTTCAAAACGAAGCCCTTGAGCAGTGGGTGTGCGTGGAGGAGAGAGTGAGATCATGCTGTAAAAAGTGCTCACATTTTTAGCCAGACAGTACTCTTGCAGCAAATAAAATCTCTCTCTCCGACAGATGGAGGAGAGGAGAGTGGGAGGGAAGTTTGGGAGCGCACTTTGTCATTTCTGTTCACTCATCGCTTTGCCTGCAGGGGAGGGTGCAGGAAATACCGGGTGATAAAAGGGTGGGTTAAAAAGTGCAACGGCATCAAGGAGATATGTGCAGCTCTTGTAATTATGGAGCAGATCTCACCTGGGGCTATCAACATGCTTTGCAAACATTAGGCAGCTGAGCTTAACGGTGTCCCAGTAGGCATGAATCGATCATTCTGTTTAGAAATAGAGACATTTGGGAACGATGTGATGAGGTTTAGATGCACAAGGATATTGATTGTAGGGCTGGACCTCATCTGATTGGCTCCCTCTGCTTTCAGTACAGGACCTCACTCTTGATACATGTTGTTCAGACTCAGACAAGCTGCCTGGCATTAACACAAGCAATTCCACATGTGCCTGACCCAGCCTTCCCCTGGAATACACCATCACTTATTTTCCCAAATCAAGCTTAATTTATCTGTCACTTTCATTAGAGCTGATGACTTTAAAGCTTTCCTAGAAAATGAGTTTTCAGTAGAGAAAAAATCACTATGTGAGGGTATCTGTGCTGTTACAACCTGCAAAATCTTATCTTTTCTTCTCAGAATTTGTTTGAACAGGAGAATGGGGGAAAGGGTGGAGGAAGGAAGTATCTCTGATAACTTGTTGCAATATAAATCCATCAGCTTTCCACAGAGAGAGCATTAGGAAAAGGTTCCTCACCAGAGGGGGTGGGCATGGCCCCGAGTGCCAGAGTTCAAGGAACATCTGGACAGAGCTCTCAGATACAGGGTTTGAATTTCAGATGGTCCTGTGTGGAGCCAGGAGTTGGACTTGGTGATCCTAGTGGGTCCCTGCCGACTTGGGCTGCTGCTGCAAAGACAAAAGGTCAGTACCATGACTGTGTGGAGATGTATTTGGGTGAAATGTTTAAACGTGGGCTCAGAAGGATCTGCAAGTTCTGCTGTTCATTTGTGCTTGTGGGAAAGTAATGTTCTCTTGGCATTTTGACTGACGTTGACAGTACAGAACTGCTGGTGAAGGCCTTGGGTCAAGGACTCTAACTTTCTCAGTGGCCTTTAGAAGGAATTGATCATAGTATCTTAGGAGAATGGGTCTCTCTATATACAGTGATTTCTGAAACAGAGTTCCCCAAACGAGACTTGGCTGTTTTTCTCTGATAGGTGTTTACTCCTGTCTCACAACAGCTTGATGTTCTGATTGCTTGATCAGATATCCAAAGTGGAAACAGCTCCTGGGTTGGTGCTTTCTAATGCTTATCTCTAAAAAATCAGTTCTGTTTGTTCCAGCTTCACTCAACTGGGCTACCAAAATACATTCTGCAAATATCTGGCATTCATCATCTTACTATTTTTATAATGGCAAACTATTTGCATCTCAAATGCTGACTCATAAAGCAAGGTATTTCACTGGAGCTGAAAGGGAAACGACCCTGCATCTTTTCCAACTTGTTTGTCATTTCATTTTTTCATCCCTCTTTGGGGATCTCTGTCCTACTTTCTGTCACGCATATTAGTGTTGGCTGATTGATATGAAGAGATACAGAGCCTTGAGCCAAAACAGTTTTACAAACAAACAGATTTTTTTTTCATCATTTATAAGAAAAAAAATAAATCTTCAGCAAAATAAAAAAATATTAACTGACTGATGTCCAGACTGACTTAGGAGTAGATTAACAAAGGAACTAAAATTTAAGTTTATTTTTCTGACTCAGTGAGAAAAGGTAGGCTGAAAAAATGATGGCTTCAAAAAGAAGTGCAATGAATGTTTTCTACTGGAATGTGTTTATAGCTTATGACATATAACAAAGCCTAGAAAATAAGTAGTTAACCTCCTCTGCTTTTGGGCATCTTGAAGGGCACATGGTCAGAAAGAATTCCTAATTCAAAGTTTTTACTTCAAAATATCATTCAATAAATATTTTGTATTCATAATATTCTGTGTAATTATATTTAACTGATTAAAGCATATTGTAATTGGAATTTCCACCCAGATTACCTTAAATAATGAATAAAAGGCAATCCCCTTAGAAATGAGAAGCATTATCTGCTTTTTTCCTAATAGAATGCAGTCTAAAAATTAAGATACCTAATTATACATTCTCCTAGTTATCAAAGAAAAAGCACCAGATTTAGTAAAAACACCTCACTTACTATCAAAAAAGCATGTCTTAATAATTACTAAAAGTGAGAATCGATCTTCAGAAAAAATAAGTATAACAAATGTGAGCTAAGAATAAAGCCGCATTTTGAATCAGGATGTGTTCTTTGCTGAACCGAATAATGTTAAAATTAGCTTCTGCAGCCTTACCCATATGGTACCTTTCTATTTGAGCTCCTGGAGGCTTTGTGTGGATTTGATGATAGCTGCATTGTTGAGTTTAATTTTGTTAGGATTTCTCTCTGATACCAGTTGAGTAATGAAGAATTAACCGCTGGGCTCAAATGATGCGTGACCTCAAGCCTGCTTCTTTCTCTTTTCCATTCAAAGCACACTACAGCTAATATTTCCAGCAAATGTGTTAGGCAACTCCAATCCTAAGTGCATGGCTCTGCAGTGAAATCCAGAATCCTCAGTTCAGACATGCACACAGTTCAAATACAGCATAAGGTGCTTGAGGATGTGACCCAGTGCAGCCATTACCCTGACTTATGAGACCACTAAAACACACAGACAGCTGCCTCAAGTGAAATGCGTGGAAATGCTGGAGAGGTGAATGAGACTCCATTAGATTTGCCTCGGTCTACACAGGATCCATCTCTCTAAAGTTCCATCCTGA